TTGGGCCGAGAACTACTGTTTTACTAATACTCGAGGGGCTTGTGATGATTTTCGAACTGAGTGCGGCCGAGGGCCAGATGTGAGGATACATTGGGTGATATGAGGCCGAGGGCCTGAGATATATTTGTACGCCATGAGGTGGCTTGAGTGATGTGAGGCCAAGAGCCGAGAGTTGATGCCACGAGGTGGCTTGATATAGCGCTTGGGCTATAAGGGGCCCCTCCAGAGTCTGCACACCCCCAGTGAGCGCAAGTACCCATTAAGATATGAGAGTGAGCCCGAGGGGCTGATATTATTCTGAGAGTGAGCCCGAGGAGCTGATATTGTTCTGAGAGTGAGCCTGAGGGGCTGATACTGTTCTAAGAGTGAGCCCGAGGGGCTGATACTGTTATGAGAGTGAGTCTGAGAGATAGAGCCCGAGGGAAAAATCTTTATGTATTTATCTTCCATATTTACTTACCATTTTTAAATGTTAAACTATGGTTTTGTGCCTGAGGGGCGGATTTCTGTGCTTATCTGCACTAACTGTTTTGCATTCATTTGCGCAATTGTTGAAAGGACTATTTTCAAAGAAGTTTAAACTGAGCTAAGATATTTTGAGAGATTTCACAGCTTCATTACTTTGCTAAAAGATTTTGTACTGCTTCCATACAACATGTTGATTTGTTCCACGTGATTTCTTATTGCTCAGTTGTTATTTACATTTGTTACTCACCGAGTTGGAGTACTCACTTTTGTGACGACCCGGGCAGTCGTCTCATGAGTTGCCACTCCGTTTCTCCCATTTCTACTTCTTTATGCTTTGTTATCCGTGTTTTATGTGATCGAGTTGGTTGGTTTGCGTTCGGAGTGAATTTGGTAAGAAATGAGATACTTAGTCTCTTTTAAGAAGGTTAAAATTGGAAAGGTCAACCGGATGTTAATTTATGTGTTAGGGGGCTAGGATATGAGTTCCGATGGTTTGGTCAGCTTCGAGAGGTAATTTATGACTTAGGAGTGTGATCGGAATTGGTTTTGGAGGTCCGGTGTAGAATTAGGCTTGAATTGGCGAGGTTAGTATTTTGGCGATTTCCGGTTGATAGGTGAGATTTTGATCTGAGGGTCGGAATGGAATTCCGAGAGTTTCTGTAGCTTCTTTAGGTCATTTGTGATGTGTGTGCAAAATTTTAGGTCATTCGGACGCGGTTTGGTTGGGTTTTTATCGAAAGCGTATTTCAGAAGGTTTTAGAAAACTTAGGCTTGAATTCGATGTGAATTGATGGATTTGGTGTTGTTTGAGGTGTTTTGATGATTGGAACAAATTTGAATGAGGTTTTAGTATGTGTTGGTGCTTTTGGTTGAGGTCCCGGGGGCCTCGGGTGAGTTTCGGGTGGTCAATCGGACCATTTTTGGCTTTGAGAAGTTGCAGATTTGCTGTTCAGGTGTTGCAGAGATTTTGGCCTTCGCGATCGCGTAGAAGAAATTTGGAAGGCAGGAAATTTTCTCTTCGCGTTCGCGTTTGAGGGTTCGCGATCACGGAAGGTTAGGTGTTTGAGCTTCGCGTTCGCATAAGTCTTCCCGCATTCGCGTATAAGGATTTGTGGTTCAGGGTCATTGCTTTTCGCGTTCGCAGCTTAGGTCTCACGTTCGCATAGTTTGGAGAAGGGAAGCATCGCGTTCGCACTGTGAGAGTTGCGTTCGCATAGTTTGTTTTTGAGGCCTTGGAATTTTGCTCTTCGCGATCGCGGGGATTGGGCCGCGATCGCGATGAAGGAATATCAGAATTGAGCAGAAAGTTTATAAGTCATTTCATCCGCGATTTTGAGTCATTTTTCCTCCATAGTTGATTATTTTGAGAGCCTTTTGAGGGAGATTGAAGAGGGATTCAAGGATAATTGATTGGAGGTAAGATTTATGAACCTAAAACGTGATTCTATTGTGAAATTAACCTAGAAATTCATGGAACCTAATCTAAAGATGGAAGAACTAGGGTTTGGGATTTTGAACTTTTGAATTGGGATTTGAAGGACCATTTGAGGTCGGATTTGAGAATTTTTGATATGTATGAACTCGTGGGAAGATAAGGAACCCGTTGATGTAAAAAATTTTGAATTTCGAGAAGTGGGCCCGGGGCTCGGGTTTTGCTAGTTTCTAGATTTTTGATATTTTTCGATTGTTTTCGCTTGGGATTTGTTCCCTTAGCATATTATGACGTCTTTGTTCTGATTTTGGATAGATTCGACGCGCGTGGAGGCCGATTCGAGGGGCAAAGGCGTCGCGAGCTAGAGTTGTAGCCGGTTCGAGGTGAGTAGTGATTGTAAATGATGTCCTGAGGGTTTGAAACCCTAGATTGCACAACGTAGTGCTATATATTGAGGTGAGACACACGTTTGATGATGAGCGTGAGGTCGTCTACTACTGAGGATTGTGACTTGGTCCGCCCTGATTGATGATTTTATCGCATATTTGACTTAAGCTTACTTGTTATCATTATGATTTGGGCTGATTGCCATATTTGGGCTTCATGCCAATTATTTAAATCCTTTGGGGATTTTTATCATTATTTCCTCACTGTTTTGACTTATTACTTGAACTCAGTCTTGTTGATATTTACTGTTCTACAAACTCAGTCACTTTTACTCATATTTGAAAACTTAAATGATATTTCTAAATGATGTTTTTGGCTGAGAACTACTGTTTTACTAATGCCCGAGGGGCTTGTGATGATTTCCGGACTGAGTGAGGCTGAGAGCCATATGTGAGGATATGCTGAGTGATATGAGGCCTAGGTATGAGATACTTTTATATGCCACGAGGTGGCTTGAGTGATGTGAGGCCGAGTGCCGAGTGATGTGAGGCCGAGAGATGATGCCACGAGGTGGCTTGATATAGCGCTTGGGCTGTAAGGGGCCCCTACGGAGTCTGCACACTCACAGTGAGCGCGGGTACCCATTGATCTGAGAGTGAGCCTGAGGGGCTGATACTGTACTAAGAGTGAGCCCGAGGGGCTAATACTGTTCCGAATGATTGATACTGTGCCCGAGGGATGGATTTTCTACTTGTTATTTACCTGCTAAATTACCTGTTTTACTTGTTTTAAAGAGATTTTACTTGACTTCTTCACTGATTTACTTCTTCAAGTGATTTTACTGCTTTGATATAGAATTGCTTTGTGCCTTTACGCGTTTTCATGCTTTCAGCCATTATTTATAATTATTAGTCACTGGGTCGGAGTACTCACATTACTCCCTACACCATATGTGCAGATTCAGGTATCGCAGAGTCCGCTCTTGAGTGTTGATCCTCCCAGTCCAGGCAATGATTTGGAGACTACGAGGTAGTTGTTGGCGTCCGCAACCCCCGTGTCTCCCTTATCTTATCATTTCATGATTTTAGAACTATTGTATCGGATTCAGTGTTTAGTAGACTTGTATTGGAATTTCTTAGTTGCTCATGACTTGTGACACCCCGGTTTGGACTGTGTCGGGATGGTTTCTATTATTGTTATCGTTAATTCTGCAAATTATGGATATTATATCATGTTTTATAAATGTTTATGATATTTAACTGTTTAAAAGAGATGTTCTATTTTGGTCTGGCTGGCCTTGTCTTCATGAGAGGCGTCATCACGACCAGGGTCAAGAATTTGGTCGTGACAACTTTACTCCCTGCACCTCGTGTGCAGATCCAGGTATTTATACACCCGGTAGCGGGTTTTGGCTGATCGGAGGTAGAGTCTCAGGAGTTTAGCAAGGTAGCTACCGGCATTCGCAGCACCGCTTTTCTCCCTCTTCATTTATTAGTCCTGCTTTGTATATTTCAGACTTTCCAGTTGTATTTATACCCTAGTAGATGCTCGTGACTTGTGACACCCCGGTTTGGGCTGTGTTGGGTTGTACTTCCGCTAATTATTATCGTTAAATCGTATTTAAACTGCTTATGTACTGTTTAACTGCTTTAAAAAGATGAACTGAGTTTAGTTGGCTGACCTTGTCCTCACGAGAGATGCCATCACGACCGAGTCCGGGTTTGGGTCTGACATGAACAACATCACTCCTAACGTATGTGAAGGATCAATACGAAGGTTTTAAAGGTGGAATTAGGAATAACGAAATCTTGGGTGCGATCCGAGTGAGTCTACTTAATGCCAGCTAGCGTAATTCGGGAGAATATATCTACTAAATTGTGGTAATTACTCGGGAGAGAGTTACGACAGTCAGAGTACTCATGATCGGTAGAGAATACTTAGGCGAATGTATAGAAAACGTAGCGGGAAAGATTCCGACAATAGGGAAAATCATAACTCTAGACCTCCTTAATCTTGTTTCCAACCCTTAGTATCTTTAGTTGTTAATTTACTATTTTAATTTGTTAGCTAATTAGTTAAACACAAGAATCTTAATATTTATAAGTTAAGAATTGTTCAAGCTTGTCTTCTTGGTGATAGTGAACAATTGTAGCTAAACCTTAGTTCTCCGTGGGATTCGACTCCGGACTTGTAAACCGGATTATATTTGCAACGATTGTTTAGTCCTTTTTATAAGGCATAGTTGGGCGTGATCAAATTTTGAAAGCATGTAACTATACCTTATAAAAAAAACTAAACAGTCGTTGCAAATATAATCCGATTTACAAGTCTGGAATAGAATCTCATAGAGAACTAAGATTTAGCTAAAGTTTAAATCTCAATATTCTATCTCTAAATCCGAAAATGAGTCATTTGTCTTCGCTTTGTAGAAATCTATCTTATAAAATATTAAGTACATATTTTACATCTATTTAATTATTTGGTACAAATATTAATATCGATTAAACTTCTTCCAATCGTGCACATTTCTACAAGTTGACATATTCAATTGATGCTGGACCATAGAACAAAACTAAGACCCACTAGCATACGATCAAGTCCCTTGAAAATATCTGCTTCTACCTGAGAAAGACTGCAAAAATATAATGGATAAACATATATTAAATAAATAAAAATCATAGAATCTCAACAAAACTTTACTGTTATACATAATTCCAGATCCTTCTACAACTTTCTGTATCCTCCCTTATATTCCTTACCGAATCTTCACTCCCTTTCCACTACACTTCTCCTCTCAAATTTTCTCAAATTACTCTCATTCTCTCAACATCTTCAATTTAATGGCTTCAGAATCAGAATCAGCAGCTACTGAGGCATCATCATTCATTGAAAATTTGATCAATTCAAGAAACAGAAACTTTTCTTTGTTTTTACCCTTTATTTTAGCTTTCTCAAACTCATCAATTTCAACAACCCCAGTTCAAGATTCAGCAGACCCAGATAATGAAACACAAGAATCAACAACCCCATCTACTTTTCTTGATCGAATTATACTCATAAACCCTTTAACCCAAGGCATGGTTGTGATAGAAAACCGGTCTTCCTCTTTGAATTTTGAGTCTTTTTTGAGTGATTTGTTGGGAAAAGATGGTCAGCCACCTGCTTCGAAAGCATCAATTGAAGCACTTCTAAATGTGGAAATTTGTGAAAATGGGGAGTGTGTGATATGTTTAGAGGAGTGGGGTGTTGGTGGTGGTGACGTGGTGGTTAAAGAAATGCCATGTAAGCATAGATTTCATGGGAATTGTATTGAAAAGTGGCTGAAAATTCATGGGTCATGTCCTGTTTGTAGATATAAGATGCCTGAAGAAGAAGGTGATTTGAATAATAAGAGTGAAAATAGAGGGAGAAGGAGAGAGATTTGGTTGAGTTTTGGTATAGGAAATGATAGGAGAAGTGAGAATAATCAAACAGTTTCAGCTAATTCCAGTTCGGAGAATGAACATGAACCAGAGGTTTAAAGAGGAGATCTTTTTTTTTTTTTGGAATAATATTTGTATAGAGGTACATTTTGTAGTTGGTTGGATTGTGGAATGAAAAATGATTTTTCAAGTTTAATTGTTCTCTCTCTCTCTCCCTCTTTTTTTTTTTTTTTTTTTTTTTTTTTTTTTTTTTTTTTTTTTTTTTTTTTTTTTTTTAGATAAGTATAGTATTGATGTTGATTTAACTGCTACAACGCATCAACATAATTGTGGGGTTTGAACATAAGCGAGATTTTATTTTAATATCTTAGACGATACGAAAGGTGATGATATACATATATTTATATAATCATGAAAATTTATAAGATAATTGTGGGTGATTTTATAATTAACATTAATTAATAACCTCATAAAAATGCTAATTAATCTACTCTCACAAGTTAATATTCAATAATAGAGTAAAATTAATTTACTCTCACAAGTTAATATTTATCAATAGAGTAACAAATCCCTAAGGAATTTTTACATTCTTATGTCATATACGAAACTATATTACCCTCAATGTTTTCTATGCCATATAGGAAATTATATTACCCTCAATGTTTAAGGTTTGATATAATTACATTTAGTATACTTAATTATCAATTCTATACCATAAATGTTTTAACTGTACATTAATTGTACCTTATGTCACTCCTAAATTTATGGTACCGTATATTCCTCCAAATCCTCACTCCCTACGTTTCTCTCTCCCAACCCCACACCCTCACCCACGTGTCACCACACATCCACGTTTCAAACCATTATTCCCTCTGTTAAAACCAGAAAAATAATTGAAATCTTCTACCATTAACGTCCAAAATCAAGGTTTTTTCTTCTACAATCAGTCAAAATTGAAGTCAAATCTTCAAAGTTTATACACAGCAATAACTTTTGATGGTTATGATTTCGGGTTCCTTCAGTAATATAAGAGAGATGGAAAAGAGAGCAGCAATTCCACCATTGACAGTCGTTAAAAAATTTTGAAGCTTTGAATTCAAATTTGGGTTTTCAAAAATCATTATTTATTTGGATTGAGTGTTGTTGTAAATAATTGAGAATATGGTTTGGAGTTTATATCTCAATTTTGAGGGGTTTTGGTGAATATTAGATTTGGTTTTGGCTGAATTTCAGATTGAAACTCGAAGAAGAAGAAGAAGAAGAAGAAGAAGAAGAAGAAGAAGAAGAAGAAGAAGAAGAAGAAGAAGAAGACATGACATACATTATATTGCAGCAATTGTAGAAAAATTGAAGACTGTTGTTTATTTATTTTTGAGCTTTTGTGTTTTTGTGTTAAATGTTTTGATGTGAACTTGTTATTCCACTTCGTCTGTTTTGGAGCTAACTTGTGCAGAGGAGAAGATGTTTTTTAAGTTATATATATTGCTATACCTTTAAATTCAAGAATGACTTGTTTTATACATTTAATCTATAACAAAACTGCATATCATTTGAAAAATTAATATGAAAATACAAAATTTCAATGTTTCTACAAATTATCTACAAACTGTTCATAACAGAATTTATCTTTATTTTCGTCTGGAGCACTAAAGTTACTTGATATGCCAACATTTTCCGTTATAGAGGAATACAACTTATCTACAATTTTTTACAACTTTCACACATTATTTCCACCCACTGAAATACAACTACAATAACATAAAACTTACATACAAATTTTATACAATATGTCTTTTGTATATTTTGTATCTGATTTATACATACTAAAAATAATTTTCATACAACTAATTATATATTATACAACTTATCTACAAATTATTTACAATTTTCATACATTATTTCTACTAAATTATATACAAGTACAATATAATACCACTTAAATATAATTTTTATACAATGTTGTTCAACTTTTATACAATAGTTAAATGAATAAAAGAAAAATAAATAAACAACATAATACAATTTTTCTACAATTTAACCACAATCTTTTTACAATTTCTACAATATAATGTATGTCATGTCGTCGTCTTCTTCTTCTTCTTCTTCTTCTTCTTCTTCTTCTTCTTCTTCTTCTTCTTCTTTGAGTTTCAATCCGAAATTCAGCCAAAACCAAGTCTAATCTTCACCAAAATCCCTCAAAATTGAGATATAAACTCCAAACCATATTCCCAATTATTTGCAACAACACCCAATCCAAACAAATAATGATTTTTAAAAACCCAAATTTGAATTAAAAAGCTTCAAAGCTTTTTAATGGCTGTCAATGGTGGAATTGCTGCTCTCTTTTCCTTTGCTTTGTATTACTGAAATTTGGTCATAATTGCGTTTGATGTAGAAGAATTGTAGAAGATTTAGTCGTTTTTGATTTGTAAATTGTAGAAGAATAATCAATTCGTTTTTGAATTGTAGAAGAATAATTGCGTTTGATGTAGAGACGCTAAATTTGAAACGAAACTGACGAAGAAGATTAATGTGCGTTATTTGCATTTGGAAGATTTGGAAGAATATTTAATCCCTCAATTTTAGCGCGCCTAAATAAGGAAGCCTACAACTACAATGATTCCTTATTTAATGCATGGTCTATATTTTGGAGAAATACTATTAGCATGAAGGGTAATATGTAAACTATGAACATATTTGGTAATATAGTTTCATATATGGTATAGGAACAAAAATTTCCCCTTTCTTAACAGTATAATTGGACGGCTAAAAGTCCAATTTTAGCTTATTGTGTTATTGGGCTTTACAAAATTTTGAGTCATTTAGACCTTCTTTTGGGTGATATCTCATTTTCGCATAAAAATAGGATTGACTAGCCAGTTTTTGGACTGATAATTAAAAAATAGTTAACATTTACAAAGGCGTTGAAAAATAGCTACTATTGTACTGCAATAAGGAAAGTTCCAGTATAATATACTGGAGATTGGTGCAACTGTGTATGAACTTCCAGCATATTATGCTGGAACTCCAGCACACAAAAAGTTTCAGCATAATATATCGGAGATTGAAGCACCTATGTATGAACTTCTAGCATATTATGCTGGACCAGTATATTATGCTGGAATTCCAATATATTATGCTGGAATTTCACATGTAAAAAATTCGAGCTCCAGTATATTATGCTGGAATATTTTCTGAATTTTGAATAATATTTTCGTTCAGATTTATCTTTACATGAAAAGTGGTTAAAATTTGATTACTTTTGAAACTGTGGCTATTTATTAATTATCACTTGTAAATATGGGTATTTTTGAAATTTTCCCATTTCCACTCCAGCTAATTCATGTTTCTCTTTCAATTTCTTTGTTTAAATTTGTACGTCACCTTTCAAATATTCTCATGTGTTTGATGTCGTCCAAATCCACTATTAAAAAGTAAATGGTCATGGTCGCATACAATATAATTTACCCAACTATGAGTCAGGGTCGAATCCCATAGAGAACAATATGTAGGCGATTATGAATGTAAGAAATTTATCAGTTATCGTGCAATGCCAAATGCTTAGAATATAGTTTGGAAAATATTTATATCTAAATGTGGAAATATAAACTAACCTAGAAAGTAATTAAAATGATCAATGGCTACAAGTATGGTTGCATCAGGATTACACTCGAGTAACGATCCAATGTATTTCATGACTTTACAAATATGAGCTAGTTTATGCTAGTTAATCCCCCGTTGTTGATTTCTTTAGTCGTATGTTTCTTATAGCTATGATTTAGTTGTCTCTATCGATCATGAACTCTTCAGCTATCATAACTCTCTCTCAAGTAATTATGATAATTTACTAGACGCACTCTCTCAAGCTACGCTAGCTAGATTCGCATTACAGTTCACTTAGATCGCACCCGAGGTATCGTTATCTCTACTCCAACCTCTAAACCCTCGGTTATGACTCTCGCCTATACTCCGGGAGTGATGTTGTTCAAACAATTACCTAAATATTCACTCTCTCTCAAGCAGATACATAATAAATAGGCACGACTAATTGAGGATCCTTTCAACTAACCAAAATCAAAACGTAGTTGAACAAATAGGGATTAACAACCAACTCAAAACTATATTAATATAACAACAAGTTCATCCACAACGGTTTCACCCAAAACCTTAGATTACCCGGTTCACTACTCATACTAGTGTTCATTCAATACATAAGTACAACAAGGTATTTAATCCACACTTTAAACAAGAATATTTCCATAAACAAGATTCAAGTGTTGGATAAAATACTACACACTTAGATATACAATACAAAGTAAGGAAATGAAGAAAGCAACATAAATGAGGAAGAAAATCTTAACCACAAGTATCAAATCTTCAAAACCAAAGTGTGTGTGCAAAGCCCTAGCTTCCAACCTTGTTCTCTCAAGCCCTAAGAACTGAAAATATGCTAAAGATCCCTAAGATATCTGCTTGGACGAGTATAAAAAATGGTTTGGGGTTGAGAAAATGTGAATTGACTAATCTGCCCAGATCTGATGCCTGTCCACCGCATCTGCGGAACAATTCACGCAGATGTGGTTCCGTAGATGCGGATTCCTTATCGCAGAAACGACGTATAGAGATATGCTTGGTACCGCAGATGCGGACCCCAAAAGTGCAGAAGCGGAAATCCACCCGCAGATACGGGGGTCCTATACAACTCTGTAATAGCATATGCGGTGCAAAAGGCGCAGATGCGCCACCGCATAAGCGACATTATAGCCGCAGATGTGGTTTCTTTCATGCTCAGCCATTTCCGCAGAAGCGGTCATTTTCTCGCAGAAGCGGGGTCGCTTCTGCGACCATCCTTCCACAGATTGGGAATCACTGGGGAGTTTTTGCATGTTTCCACCCTTTTTGCTCAATTCCACTCCAATTGAAATCAAATCATTTCCTGACATCATTTTCCTGAAAATCTAACAATACACACCATAAATGACCTTATATTATAGTTAAATGACATAAAAGTTAAGGAAAAGAGACTAGATTGAGTGGTAAAATCACCACTCATCAACACCCCCAACTTAAAGCTTTAGCTTGTCCTCAAGCAAATTAAAACCATCAATTCAATGAGGATTTACCACGTAAAACACAAGCGGTATTGCTATCATTTACATATCATATTCCCCAATTTAAGCACCATACTTATGGATT